GTGAGCAGAAGTCACCAACTGTCTGCAGAGTCAATAGCTGAAGACCTCCAACCAGCATACCAAGACATTTTGGACAATTTCATGCTCCCAACTTTGTAGGAACAGTTTGGGATGGCCCCTTCCTGTTCCAACATGACTGTGCACCAATGCACAAAGCAAGGCCCATAAAGATATGGATGAGCGAGTTTGGGGTGGAGGAACTTGACTGACCTGCACATAATCCTGACCTCAACCTGATAGAACACCTTTGGCATGAATTAGAGCGGAGACTGCGAGCCAGGCCTTCTCATCCGACATCAGTGCCTGACCTCACAAATTCCCATAAATACACTCCAGATGCAGTGGTGTAAAGCACGTCGCCACTGGACTCTATAGAGCAGTGGAGATATGTTCTCTGGAGTGACAAATCACGCTTCTCTGTCTGGCAATCCAATGGACGTGTCTGAGTTGGCAATTGCCAGGAGAACGGTACTTGCCTGACTGCATTGTGCCAAGTGTAAAGTTTGGTGAAGAGATTATAGTGTGGGGTTATTTTCAGGGGATACCTGACCTCAACCCAATAGGATAGATGAATTAGAGTAGAGACTGTGAGCCAGGCCTTCACATCAAACATTAGTGCCTGGCCTCACAAATGCACTTCTGGAAGAATGATCAAACATTCCCATAGACACATTCCTAAACCTTGTGGACATCCTTCCCAGAAGAGTTGAAGCTGTTATAGCTGCAAAGGGTGGGCCAACTCAATATTGAACCCTACGGACTAAGACTGGGAGGCCAATAAAGTTCATGTGTGTGTAAAGGCAGGCGTCCCAATACTTTTGGCAATATGGTGTATATTTTTACTGGTAGTGATACATGACCACACTGCACTTTTGTAATATTGAAATAGGAAAAAGAACAAACTTTCTGATAAAGAAGAAATGAAAATACCAGTACAAACACGCCACAGAAGCATCTTTTTTGGAAAGCATACATCTGAGATGATCTTTCTTATTTACCACAATTTTTTGGAAATGAAAAGTCATGTCGGTATTAAAGTGGTTAAAGCATGGTGGTTTCTATGAAATTAAAACATGGTGCTTGGTAATGGTACATTAGGTACAGTACATCATTATAATGAAGAGGTAAAACAGAGGCAGAAAGAGGTGAAGAGGTCTCTTACAATGTGAAGCTAGAGGGGGTTAATGTGCAGATATATGCAGGATAAGGGAGGTGAAGGCATTAAGTCAGAGACAGGATGGAGATCAGATGTACAGCTAACACTCTGACCCAGGGGCAGACTGACCATTTGGAAACTCGGGCACTGCCCGAGGGCCTGGGGTCAGTAGGGGGCCCCATGAGATGCCCCTGGTACCTTTTTCATAGGCTTTTTTGAGTTTGGGCAAGGACACAGGGGCCCCATGATCCCCTATTGCCCGGGGAGCCCCATGAGTAGTCAGTCTGCCCCTGCTCAGACCAGAGCAGGGAGTGGGGTTAAAGGGTTAACAAAACAAATCCACAATAAGTTAAATCCCTAACTTTTAGGCCTGGTTCACACTAGTGCAATTTCAGATGCGACTTGAGTCGCACGGAATTGCATGACTATGGAAATCACATTGCTTTCAATGGTGTCTGTTCACATTAACTTACCACGGCACAACTTTGGAAAAGGTTTCTGCACTACTCTGGTGCAATTCCAGTGTGCTGCAGGCCCCATATAATATGCAAACCACTGCAGAGTAACATCAAAGTAGGATCAAAGAAGCATTCAAGTGGCACTACATAATTGTACTGAAAATTGGATCAAAATTGTATTGAAGCAGTGTGAACTGAGCCTTAATCTGCTGCTGCCTCTGTTCTTCTGAAAAATGAATGATTCATTAATTTATGATTTTCTCCTTCCATTCCTGTAAGAGAATGGGACAGGCTTTCAAATGTAAATGGTACAGTGTTTACATTTGTGAATGCTGTGATTGGTCATCACAGTGATCACAAGGTTGCTTGATTGGCTCAGTACTCTAATCTGAGGGGGCTGAAAAGGACTCAGATCACAGCCATTCACAGGCACACTAGCCACACGTGTATCATTTCTGCAGTGCTGTTTATAAGCAGCACATCAGAAATACATGTCCACCCTTTCACCATTCTAAAACGTATGGTAGTAGTAAATTATTTTAAGTCATATTCCAAATGAATGCAGCTAGATATTTATTAAGAAGTCATTAAATGTATTTATTTAAATTTATTTTTTTATGCAACAGAGGGCTCCAAGGGCCACATGTGGCCCTTGGAGCCCTCGGTTGTGGCCCTTGACCTCAAACCAGGGTAGCGCACTTCTTTTATGTCCTGCGGGTTTTGCACACTTTCTGAAAGCATACCAAAACTCCTAAATGCAGTGCACCACATCTGCAAGATATAGTAGAAGTCTATGGCAAAGCGCAGCTAACTCGCAGAAAAGCCACAGGTGCACTGCAACCGAGATGTGGGTAAACCGCAGCACATCAGTTTGAAAGCAGCCTTATAGGGAGCTCAGGACATTAAGGACTTGTTTACATTTGCAGTTTGGGGGTGGTAAAACCCCATAGTTGAGGCATGTTATTACCACACACCTCAACCACTGGTGAAGCATCAGTGGTCGCCATGGCAACCCCACCCCATGCTCCAGGGGGCCCGTGCAGCCTCCTTGTCACATTCTATTTTACACTTGGACAGAAGGAGCAGCAGGGGTGGCATATACAGGAACGGATCCTCTCCATTTTCCTCAACTGCTGAAAGTCAGCTTCTACTTCTCTTCCTTCCGCCGGCATTCAGTGGCAGCAGGAGGAAAATGTTCATTATGCTATTCAAAATAAAACATTCGGAATTTTGAACCATTTAATTTTATTGTGGCCCTCAACCGTTTACCAAATCATTCAAGTGGCCCTTGCTCTTCAAAACGTTGAGCACCCCTGCTCTGTGCAACAGCCGCGGGAGCAGAAAAGAGGAATACTATATAGTGTCACTTGTGATTCTTCTGGGGCTGTGAACATCACATATGAGATGGTGGCACCCAGCAGGAGTCCCAGGACTTCTGAATGCTCACACAAAGGAAGCTTTTACAGGTAAACCAGTTGCATAAAATATTTTAAATACACATATAACCTTATGGGAAGACTTTTCCTGAAATAAATGGCCTGGCAGCAGGGTCTTTTTTAACAATACCCCCAAATCAAAACCTATACTCAAAGAAAATTAAGGCTGCCTTTGCTGACCTCTCCTTCTGAAAATGCTTGTTGCCTGACTAAAATGCTATTCCAATGGCTTTGATACTTTCAAAAGTCAAGGGAGGAAAAAGAAAAATCACTGAAATGTTAAAAAGCAATATAAACATTTACACATGGCAAAATTATTATTATTTATGGTTATATCAACAGGTGGAAGCAGCATGTGAATCCTTTTAACCCGCTCCTATACTGTTGCCCTTCATAAACGCGCCCGCCATTTTACCCTGTGTGCACTCCCTGGGAGTGCGCGACACCGCGATCCAGTGCCCGCTGTGTTCTCCGGACACAGCGGAACACCGATCCCTGTACGGGACCTCTGTGTGAGGTCTGGATCATGTGATCACTGATTGGCCAATCAGTGATCACATGGATAGTAGTAAGCAAGATGTCACTTCTGACATCATTGCTTACTATGCGTGAAATCTGTGAATGATCACAGAGATCACATGGTACAAGGCTATTCATAACAGCCTTGTACCATGTGACAAGCTGTGACCAATCACAGCTCTCACAGTATTTCTCAATGGCTGCAAGAATGCAGCCAGAGAGAAGGAGAAATTATTGCTTTTACAGTCTTTATGGGTGTAAAAGCAATCAGTGTAAAAAAAAAAACAAAAAACTTCATCACCCCCCACAAGTAGTACAGTGTCACTATGGTGACACTATACTGCTAGGGTGACAGTATGTTAAAAAAAACATAAATAATAATAATATAAAAAAATAAATAAAAATGTAACAACATTTTTTTTTTTTAAATTATAATTTTTGGTTATAAACTAATTTGGGTTATTGTTTTTACTAAAAAGATAACTGAATACATTTTGGCCAAGATTTATGAAGAAAGATTGTTTATTTGCAAAATTTTATAAGAAAAACACTTTTTTTCAAAATTTTTGGACTTTTTTCATTTATATAGCAAAAAAATTAAAAATCCCAGTGGTGAATAAATACCACCAAAAGAAATCTCTATCTGTCTCAAAAAAATTATAAAAATTTTGTTTGCGTACAGTGTTGCATGACCATGCAATTGTCATTCAAAGTGTAACAGCGCTGAAAGCTGAACATTGGCCTGGACAGGAAGGGGGTGAAAGTGTCCGGACTTGAAGTGGTTAACGAAGGGGCTATGTTGCCCTGAAAGGCATAGGTGGAGCCACATACTGTACATCCTCAAGCTGTCAGCGTTTGCCTATTTTTGGGTAAATCTACCTGGATATTTTCTGACTGTTAGTGTGTCCCAGCATTTCCTTTTATACAGGGGTCTGCTATCTGCCTTCGAATGAGTGGTGAAGGGCTGCTTCTCTGTTAAGGGTTTGAAGAATCGGAGGACTTCTTTCTGTTGATACACATATGAGTTTGCCATTTGTCAGTGCAATTTATTGGTTTATATTGTTTTATTAATAAGGTGAATTCTGTCCGATCCCACATGCTTTTTCCTGCCCTCTGATGTGTTTCATTGCTTATGAATATGTTAGCCTGCAAGGATAGGCAGCATGATGACTATCTTATACCAGTGAGCACATTTTACGTGAAGAGTATACTGACTTGTTCAGTTCAGGTTTCTTTTAACACTTTGCAGTTGAATAATGAAATTAATGCTGTTGACATAAGACAAAAAAATCAAATAATAAATTCCTGCATGTCCATGGACATAACATGAAATGCCTTGCAATTCTGAAGCAACAATCACATTTCAAATTAACAGACATTCAAGAAACATTAATTCTGTGTAGTTTACAAATGAATTGGGTATGTACTTACTGCATGGCCCCATGAGGTCCCTGTTGTATGATATTCCTTAATGTATGCTTGCAGCTGATTCCAAATATTCAGGTAAGATTTTACCCAGTCAACATGGCGCACATCACTTAAAGCAAAAAGACCAAATGTTACTCTCCAGGAGCACATTGAGAGAAAACATTAAACAGATAAAAAAAATTGCCGCGGTGAGCAAGAATTGGCCAAACCAACACACTTCATCGTCGTGTTGTACAATTCTAATATACAGCTCTGGGGAAGTTATTTACAATACATGGGAAGGAATACATAGTTCACACTCACAAATGTCTTCAACAATTTTCTCTGCCAGTAAAGCAGTCTTCTTTTATTTCTGCCAGAAGACAAATTACTCAAGATATTTTTCTGAGCTGTGTGCGGTCTCCTGGGATTACCATTAAAGCGGTTGTTAATAACTGCATTAGATAAAGTGTGTTTTATGCTGAATATGAAATGCTTTTCATTTCTAGCAAAAAATATTATTATGAATACCCTAAAATTTGTACTGAACTTCCATGTTGGCTTTTTCCTAATACCGTTAGAGGGTTTACCTGACATTGAACTAAGTCTATTCTAAATGTCTTTTAAATTGTACAAATGATTGGAATAGCAGCGATAGCAGTAGCAGATTATAATTATGGTGGTTTGTGTGGCCACCTGGGGCCCAAAGATTCCGGTCAGAACATGCCTGACTGTCCATTGCTTAATTACACAACTATGCAAAGATCCCTGCAGAGCTTTTGGGAACTATTTAGGTCTTAAAAAAGATGTTTTATTTGTAAGGCCTACCTGTAGGCCATATGAGCCCTCCAGCCTTTTTGCATAGCTTCCAGAGTGGATGGCACTATGTGTCCTGCATAAAGGACAGGAACAAGTGCCCTAGCTCAATCACAACCAGCACATGTGCAATACCCTGGTGCAATGCTAGTGTGCTAGGGGGTAACCTTGGATTCTGAACTATCCTTTCAGGCCCACATCCAATCCCTGTTCAAATCATGCCGCCTCAACCTCCGCAACACCCCTTTTTAACCAATGATACCACAAAGCTCCTAACTCACTCCCTGGTTATCTCTCGCCTTGACTACTGCAACTCCCTCCGTATTGGCTTACCTTTACATAGGCTATCCCCCCTCCAGTCCATCATGAATACTGCTGCCAGGCTCATCACCTCACCAACCGTTGTGTTTGCCACCCCTCTCTGCCAATCCCTCCACTGACTTCCACTCACCGAACGAATAAAATTCAAAATACTAACAACAACCTACAAAGCCATCCACAACTCTGCCCCAAGCTACATCACCAATTTGGTCTCAAAATATCAACCAAACCTCTCTCTTCGATCCTCCCAAGACCTTCTGCTCTCTAATTCCTGTGTCACCTCCTCCCATGCTCGCCTCCCGAGATTCTCCCATCCTACGGAACTCCCTACCCCAAACTGTTTGACTATCTCCTAATCTATCTACCTTTAGATGAACCATGAAAACCTTTCTCTTTAACCACTTGCCTACAGCGCACTTATACCCCCTTCCTGCCCAGGCCAATTTTCACCTTTTAGCAGTGTCGCACTTTGAATGACAATTGCGCGATCATGCAACAATATACCTATATCACATTTTTATCATTTTTTTGAGACAGATAGAGCTTTCTTTTGGTGGTATTTAACCATTTGACGGCCGGCCAATAGCCGTATGGCGTCCGAAAAATGCACTAGCTTTCCGGGAGGCCGCCATTTGGCATACTCCTGCACATGCGCAGTTTGCGCGCTTGCAAAGCCACGCAGCAGCGCGATCTGTCACCGGCCGTGTACCTCGGTCACGGCCGATGACAGATCTGAGTAACGGCCCTGTTCCAGGTACCATGTGAACTGCTGTGATTGGTCACATGACAGTTGTATACAATGGATGGCTTCATTCATGCCATCCATTGTATACTAGTGTCTAGCTGTGAATGGTCACAGCTAATCACAGGCACATGTCATGTGATTAGTTGTGGCCAAATCACAGCTAAGCACAAAAAAAAAAACCCTGAATGAATCGATGTCATTCAGGTAAATGCTTGCTTATAGCAAAGTAATTCTTTGCTATAAGCAAATTGTGTAAAAAAAAAAAAAAAAATACTGATCACTTCCCCAAAGTAGTACAAGGTTACTATGGTAACCTTGTACTACTTTGGACATAGTGAAATATGAAAAAAAATCTTAAAAAAAATAAAAAAACTGTAATAAAAAATTTAAAATAATAAAAATAAAAAATATATATATATTTTTTCACACTGTCACCAGTCAGTGTCCCTGATCACCGCCATGCCAGGTATATGATGACACTGTACTGCACTGGTGACAGTATGTAAAAAAACAATAGTGAAAATAATTATTTTTATTTTTTCATTTTCCAAAAAATTATGACAAAAAAAATACAACTTCAAAAAACTCGCCATGCCTCTTATGAAGTACATCGGACTGTCTACTCTGCAAAAAGGGGTCATTTGGGGGATATCTGTACTGTTCTGACATTCTTGGACCTCAAGAAATTAGATTGGCTGTCAGTACTTCAGGATTGATCAATATTCAATTCCATACCATAGTTTGTGAACTCTATAACTTTCCTACAAACTAAAAAATACATCCTAATTTGGGTTGTTTTCACCAAAGACATGTAGTAGAATACATCTCGGCCTAAATTTATGAAGAACAATTATTTATTTGCAAACTTTTATAACAGAAACGTGTTTTTTTTTCAAAATTTTCAGTCTTTTTTTGTTAATTTAGCAAAAAATAAAAACCCTGGCGATGATTAAATACCACCAAAAGAAAGCTCTAGTTGTGTGAAGAAAATGATAAAATTTAGTTTGGGTACAGTGTTGTATGACTGGGCAATTGTCATTCAAAGTGTGAGAGCGCTGAAACCTGAAAAATGGCCTGGGCAGGAAGGTGTAAAATTGCCCGGTATTGAATTGGTTAATCACCTCTGGGTTTTTATTTTTTGCAAAACAAACCAAAAACAACTGAAAATTTTGAAAAAAAAATTTTTTTTCTTAGTTTTTGTGTTAGGATGGGGGATGGGGGAAGATGATTTGTGCTAGGATGTGGGATTTAGGGGTTTTGTGCTAGAAAAGGTAAGAGGTTGTGTTAGAAAAGGGGTGGGGATTCGTGATGGGGGCATATGGGGAAAGAGAGGATTTAAGCTGGGGAGGATGGAGAGGGTCAAAGGTTTACACGGGGGGGGGGGATTTGTACTGGAAGGAGGGGGAATTTATGTGTAATGGGGTAACCATGCAGATTAATGCTAATTTTTTTTTTTTGGAGGGGGGATGGGAGGATTTTTGCTTACACATAACTCTTATACATCTGGAGGGGGGGATTTGGCATGTTCACCCTGGGCTCTATATGACCTTGTCCTGACACTGGCCCTGCCCATGGTCCTTTGCTAATCTGCTCAACTGTTCCCACTCTCAGATCTCTAAAACATAAAGGCTATCCATTGAATAATCCATGATAGAAAAATTGGAGTGCTCTTTAAGATAATACAGGAAGTGTGCAGAGGACACATGACAGCTCTCAATTTCTGATCATTATTTTTTTGTACTTATCAAAAGGTTTAATAAAATGTTTTAAATTGTACATTAATGTTCAACTCTAGGAAACCTAAATATTTGCAGGGGTTAACTGCTTGTTTATGTTTAGAGGACAGGGTAAAGCAGTTTTACTTATTCCTCTGTGTTGCTAGACTGGTCCCCGCAACCTATTCTCCCCTATGCTTTGGTGATCTAAAGTTCCCTGAACTAGTTATTAACTGGTTGCTAAGGACATAGGTGGGTGCCAGCTTCTTACAAATCAGTGAATAGCGGAGCCAGCACCTGCCAGAGTCCTTAACAACCAGTGTTTGGTAGGTTCCAGCTCCTTAACAATCAGCTATTTACCGGTTATAATGACACTGCCGAGTGCCGGCTTTGCTATTCAGTGGTTGTTAAAGATGCCACTGGGTGCATTTTTTGTGCGCAAATTTAATGGAAGGTGCATTTTTGGTGCACTTTTGCACCACCAAACACAGTGCAGCCAAGTGAAAAAGGCACATAGGATTTAAGGGGGAATAATTTTGATGCACTTTTGTCACACTTGAAAGGTGTTTTCTAGTGCGCCAAAAGCACATCAGTGTGAAAGGGCCCTTAATGGTTAGGGATTACATACACTTTAATTACCATCACTATGTCCCACAGAGTTTTGCAATTTTCAGTGTATTCCCATACTAAAGTTACCTTTACAACATAATTTACAGACTCACAGAAATTCTATATTATATAACGTTTAAGAAGGTGGTATTTGACATGCAAATTTTGATACTAACTCAATCTTCCTACTCACTTGTACAGACAGTATTTTTTAGACATACTGTTAATCCTAAACTGATTTATTACATGTATACTTTAATAACAGTAACATTTCCTAGACTGTTGCATTCATCTGTATAGGATGAAGGTTAGTTAAACAATGTTAATATATTTTGTGGCGATCAAAGGAAAAGAACGGAAAAATTATATAAGTAATGCATGAATGTACGTCACACGCAATGCATGAAACTATTAAGCAATACCATACAGAAGTATGGCATTGTAACATACAACAGAGATGAACCATGACCATAAATCAAGATGTAAGTGAATAATGAACATTAGAAGACCAGTTCACATTGAGTTATGTGAAGCTATACATGTGGCTCTTAATATACTATTTACAGTGAAGGAAATAAGTATTTGATCCCCTGCTGATTTTGAATGTTTGCTCACTCACAAAGAAATGATCAGTCTAAAAATCGAATGGTAGGTGTATTGTAACACTGAGAGACAGAAGAGCAACAAAATATTTCAAAAGAAATGCACGTCTAACAAATTATACACTGATTTGCATGTTCATGAGGGAAATAAGTATTTGATCCCCTATTATTCAGCAGGATTTCTGGCTACCAGGTGTCTTTCATACAGGTAACTAGCTGAGTATAGAAGTAGTCTCCTAAAGGGATTGCTGCTAATCTCATTTTGTTACCTGTATAAAAGACACCTGTCCACAGGAGCAATCAAACAATCAGATTCCAAACTCTCCACCATGGCAAAGACCAAAGAGCTGTCCAAGGATGTCA